AGCGAGAGGGTGAAGAAGAGATGGTGGACATAGAAGAGGAAGAAAAAGAACTCTCTCTTCTCTCTCTCTCAGTCCGGTACGAACCTGTGAAGTTGGCGCCTTGATGCAGGTACCTCGAAGATGAAGCTGGAGCTATGGCGCCACAGGTAAGTCTCCCTGGCCTCCGCCAGCCATCTCTCTCTCCAACACTACTCTACTCCTACCAGCGCCCAGCGCTGAAGACCACCACTACAGCTACTAGCGGCCAGCGCTGAAGACTACTGCTAGCGCTAAAGCTACTCCTGCAGCGCTCCTCCAGAGTGCTGCTGCCGAATCCTGAAGACTACTCCTGCCTTCTGCCTACCCGTGAAGTGCATGGGAACTCCCTATGTACTACCTCAGCCTGCCTCCTGACTGCCTCCGACTGCCTGCAGTTGCAGGGCGGGGCAGTCCAGGAGGCTGCTCTTGCCAATGCCAAAGTGAGCCAGGGTCTGGCGCTGCAGCTCCTGCTGAGGCTGTCGTGAGAACAGGCCAAAAATAGCCTGGTCCTAAAACCCTGGTTTGGTGCCTGAGTGTCAGGGCAGGTCGATCTTACGAGGGCCCGAAAATGGCTCTCCGTTTCAAGCTGAAAAGACTCAGTGCCTGGAAGGCCCTGTTTCAGGCTGAAACAACATAGGGCCTGAAGGCCCTCGTTTTCAGGTCTTAAGGCTGAAACGACACAGGGCCTGTAAGCCCTTGTTTTCAGGCTTTTAGGCTGAGAACGCTGGTCGGGCCCTGCAGGCCCGTGTGGCTGCGCAGTATGCCACAGCATGCATGATGAGTGAGCATAGATCAGGACTATAGACAGAAGGAGAGGAGAGAGATCAAGGTGGAAAGGGTGAGCTATGGTGACACCTACCTGTTGAGCACTGTTGTTGAACGTTTGGCAGCTGGTGCTGATAAGCACCAGGCCTGGGAACTCATGTTGATTGAAGAAGACGTGTAACTTTGTTCGGCGCTATATCTTTTCGACTCTTGATGTTCTCTCTTTAATCTGGGTTTGATAATTGAGTTAAGCTTCCTGGTCCTCATTCATCTTCTATTGGGCTTCGTGTGAGACGTCGCAATCTGTGAAATCTGTATAAATACTATAAAAGGATGTGAACTGATGCTCTCCAGCAAGTGATGAACAGTTGGGTTCCTTGCAATCGGGACCACTAAAAAAATAAAAAAATAAAGGAAAACCCGCAAGGGTGCCCCAGACCATCGGAAAAAAAAGAAGGAAAATCCCCCCCACATGATCAAGTGTAGTATCTGCGTCGATCAGTTTCATATCCGATCCTCTCTCCCAAACGATCAAGCGCAGTAACTGCTCTGTTCAGTTTCATATCTGATCCATGGTCCATCGATACCTTTTTTCTTTCATAAAAGAAAAAAAAAAAGCACGTGCGAGAGCGAGCGAGCGAGCGAGAGAGAGAGAGAGAGAGAGAGAGAGAGAGAGAGAGAGAGAGAGAGAGAGAGAGAGAGAGAGAGAGAGAGAGAACCTAACCTAACTAACTATGCACCTCCCCCCCCACACGGTCAAGTGCAGTATCTGCTTCCATTAGTTTCATATCGATCCTTCCCCCCACACGATCAAGCATGGTATCTGCTCCGTTCAGTTTCATATCTGATCCGTGGTCCATCGAAGAGAGAGAGAGAGAGAGAGAGAGAGAGAGAGAGAGAGAGAGAGAGAGAGAGAGAACCGAACTACGCGCCTCGCTCCCCCATCCGCCCCGACGATCAAGTGTAGTATCTGCTTCGATCAGTTTCATATCCGATCCTCTCTCCCCGCACGATCAAGCGTAGTGTCTGCTCCGCTTGGTTTCATATCCGATCCGTGGTCTATGGATACCTTCTTTTATTTAAAAAAAAAGGGAAAAAAAGCATGCGAGCAGGTGCGCACGCAAGAGAGAGAGAGAGAGAGAGAGAGAGAGAGAGAGAGAGAGAGAGAGAGAGAGAGAGAGAGAGATCCGAACTATGCGCCTCGCTTCCCCGTCCCCCCCAACAATCAAGTGTAGTATCTGCTTTGATCAGTTTGTATCTGATCCTCTCTCCCCGCACGATCAAGCGTAGTGTCTGCTCCGTTTGGTTTCATATCTGATCGAGGCCTGTTTTTATTTAAAAAAAAAACGAAAAAAAAAAGCACGCGCGCACGCAAGAGAGAGAGAGAGAGAGACAGAGAGACAGAGAGAGAGAGAGAGAGAACCCAACTACGTGCCTCCCCCCCTCCAACAGAAACACGGTCGAGTGTAGTATCTGCTTCGATCAGTTTCATATCCGATCCTCTCCCCGCACACGATCAAGCGTAGTATCTCCTCCGTTCGGTTTCACATCTGATCCGTGGTCCATCGAGACCTTTTTTAATTTAAAAAAA